GGCCCGAGGGTATTGGTTGATATATGCCATGATATCAATTCATCAATTTCTTCTCGGTATGCGCTATGGGGCGGGGTGAATAGACACCACAATACATGCTCTCGTAGTAACACTATGATGTTAGGACTATATAATAAGAAGGGATGTAGTACTTAATCTATTCAGCAATAATCTACCTTTACTGCTACTAATCTTTTTCGTTACAGAAGTTTATCTTTCGCTGTGCACGTGTACGTGAGGTACCAGAGCACTGACAAACACTCTTTTCAGAAAAAGGTTGCTCCGTACTGTCGCTAGTACGTAGCTTATATTGCCTCATTGCACATTTCAGAAGAAAATACGTCGGCCAAGGATTTGGTGACGCTGTCGCATTCATAAAAATCAACGGCGATTTTGTTATCTGTATTCTTGAACTCTATGTAACCAAGCGTGAAATAGATCAGGTTTATTTGACCAAGTTTGGCCGTGACAAGTTCATGCGTGCCGCGGTGCTTTCGTAAGCTGCATTAGTTATGCTATCGCGGTACTTGCTAATTCAAATGTGTATTTTCTTTGCATACTCCCGCAGAAAATGCAGACGAAGTACATTTTGGTGACAAGTATATGGTTTTATGTCGTTCTGATATGAGCATAGCAGGTCGCAGTCGCCTATATTTGATAGTTCGATTTTGCCTTTTTACTTACGCACTCACTTACTCGTGACACTAGGCATGACGAAGACTATCTGCACACATTCATAATGATCTTCTCGTGTGCGCTTTGCAGCAACATTTGCTTCAGTGCTTCATTTATGGACATGCTTTTGTCAGATTGATTGTTTAAATCTCGAACGTTTGTGATAATATCGGTCTCTACGTATTTGTACTAAGCAAAAGTTATTGATGAGCGTATCAGATGAAGCAAGCTTGGTCGATTATGAATCCGATGCAACAGCCTTGACAGGTTCACATGTGTGCATGAATTTTGACCATTGGCATATGCATAATTTTGAGTTCCAGAATGTATTCCTTCGTTTAGAAAGCATTTTTACCTGCGATATGTAACTACAAAGGCATATACAGTTTGTGGCAAGCATTATAAAGCGAGCCGCCATTCACCACTCACTTTTCGCTAACCACCACTCACCCTCGATTTAGAATATCGTGATTGGCTGATTAAATTATTATTAATCAAACACACGCTGATACTCAAATGCCACGACTAGGGTCACACCCCATTATGCTAGGGGCACACCCCATTTTTGCTACGGGCACACCTGCCCCCTAAAATGATAAAAACAACTTCACATTTTATAGTGCAGAACGATGTACGTGTACAGTTCAATATAATTGTGCGTAGAAGCACCCGACCGAATTTCTGGAATTGTTTGGTCTAGGGCTCTGGAAGTGAAGAAAGGGAATTCCACCTACTTTATATGACAAAAGCTTGTCTTTAATCCCTGAAATTGGCCTCGTAATCGCGTCTGAATCTCTCATGCTCATACAATACAATAGAAAACATCGGATAATAACACGCGCCAGCTGGACTAAAATGGCGTAAGAAGGCCTGAAAGAGGATCAACCGTCGCTGGAACAGCTCCAAACCACACCTTCTGCTCTCGTTGGTAGTAGATTTCCTTCCATAAACGAGATGGAAACAACCTTAAACGATTTTGCGGCTATTTTAGGGTATGCCATCATCGTCGCTAGATCAATGAAAACGAGGCGGGGTCTGCAACAGGTCTAGTACAAGTGCGATCGTAGCGGGACCTAAAAGGACAGACAAAACCTGTGCAGAGGTGTAAGAAAGAGACGGACTACCAGCCGGTTGATGGCATGGCCGTAAAAGCGTTGGGCGATGCAAAAGCGGATGGATATCGAAACTTCAGCATAAATACCGCCGATCACATTCTAAATCCTTCGTCACATTCGGCCGGGCATACAAATTACCAAAATCTCTCGCAATTTCAGCTATCAAGGGGCTGCTTGACGCAACGGTGCCTCTACGAAGCATCCAAAATCGCTTAGAAGTGACACATGGCCTAAGGGTTCCCATGAAGAAACTGTACAACCCCGTCCGGCAGCTGACCAAGAAGTAGTTGGACGTCAAGAGCCCGGTCGAAGTGCTGGTAAATGCTTTTAGGTTAATCCCATGACACAGAATCGATTTTGGACGATGATGGACTTGTTATATATTACTTTTATTGCACAGCCGGGAATGGAGGAGCTGATGAGACTCAATCAAGACGTGTTAGTCTTCGATTCCACCCCCAAGACAAACTAGAACTGTTTGCCTCTCTCGGATGTCGTCGATTCCACCGCATTGCACACCACATTCTCTGCGACCTTCGTTTTCATGAAGAACGAAATCGAAGAGTCGTCCAGGACTGCTGTTGTGTTCTTGCACAAACTTTTTCACACCAATGCTCTTCCAAAAGTCTTTGCCGTTGATCTAGGAATTGCTCTGATCTCGGCGATGCGATAATATTTTCCTGAGGCCTCGATTTTGTTGTGTGCGTGGCATATTGTACGCACCTCGTCATAGACTGTAGCCCTAAGGTCCAAAATTACGATACGCGGTACGTTTTTGCCCGTGCCTGTCTCGGCAAAAATGTCGAAGATGAGTCGTTGCCAATGCCGATGGTCAGGTCACTCAAAATCATACCATTGGATTAAATATCGTGTTCGAGACTGTAGAGCTCCCAGCAGGCATTGCCCGTTTGGATACCGCCCTGGCCAAGATGGATTGATATCATATGGCGAATGAATGGATATGCCGTGAAAAGATAACGAGATCGATAGAAAGCAGTAGTTAGTGACTATGTGAATTGCTCATTGTTCTACACCATAACATGTGAAGTTGTTTTTATCGTTTTAGGTGGGCGGGTGAGCCCGTAGCGAAAATGGGGTGTGCCCCTAGCATTATGGGGTGTGACCCTAGTCGTGGTCATACTAAAATCGGTTACATTAAAACGACCGCCTTCATCATTGCACAGGCTTCGACGTTCACAATATCACTTCCATCAGCATGGATCTTCTGCTACACACTGGTCGTTGGTAAATATTTCTGGACACGTGGAGATGTATGTAACACCCACATCAATTAAGAATAGTTTGAAGCGCATTTAAGAAAAATTTGAAGAAAAAACAGCATACAGGCAGCGAGTTATTCTTGACCATCTAGATGTGCTACCGGCAGCGGAGGTCTCAATCTGTCTGTCCAGCATGACCGCGGTAGGTCTGTTGGTGTTCTCAAGCATTAAGTGGTATGACATTTATTGCAGATTTCTACTTAGCGGGATTCATCGCATTTTGAAGTTGTGATGAGATCATTGCGGCTTGTACGTCGATACGTAAGGATCGGCGAGGCAGAACACAACAGAATAAGATGTCGGCAATCTCTTCCAACCTTCTAAGGAACTGCGCTGGTGACTTGTATTGCTCTTGGTGCTGGGGATGAACAAAAGAGTTTTGCATACCCACAAAAAGTAAACAAGCAGTACCTGGACATGGTGGCGCATGCGGAGAGTCAATTATTTCATGATTAAACTAAGTAGCCTTTTCAGACAGGTTTAATTTTCAGCGATTTTATGATTTCGCGTGAAATTTCGCGCATCTTTATTATTTTATTTTTATTAATTAAGATACAGCCAATTACAGCGCGAGATATATACTTGCAATATTTCTGCAATTATAGGGTGATGATGTGATTAGCGAAAAGTGAGTGGTGAATAGTAGGTCCCTTTTTCCAATTTCTCATATCGTGTGATGTATTTTACTTTTTCTCATTGAGGGATGCACTTCTCTAAGTTCGTGTTCTTCAGGTGCAATTCTCCTATTTTAATATCATCTTTATCGATCCCCTATTGCAGCAAGGTTGCTCTCTGTCTGTCCGTCTATATCTTGTGGCTCGACGGTTTCAGCAAGTAAATTATGTGCAATGGTATGCTCTACCTTTCGCTGCGAAGTTTTGAGGCAGGTACTTCGCAACGCAATTGTGAGTCATGTAGTCATACATAGCTCACACAAAGAATATGTGAAGCTACAAAGCAGCATTAAAGTTATTTCGAAGGGTTTCGATTACGGTGTGATACTTGTCCACTTCATGAGTCGTGTCGCAAATGGGTCTTGATGAGACACAATAGCATGATACGAGTTCTTTCGTTGGTTTGACGGTGAGGCGGCATTTTTGGCGGTCCAATAGTCAATAACTTTGTACATCTAAGTGTTGCAGGGGCACAGAAGGCCAATTTTTGCAATCTTTACCCGATCGATTGTGCACGCCCTTATTTACGAAACAAAAACAGACATTACCTTGGAATTAGAGTGCTTTTTTCTTGCTTCGTGTTATGACCGATCAACCTTGAGTTATGCTCAACGAGGAAGGCAACGGGAAAGTATCGTTCACATCCAGAGCAACAAAATTCACTCACAAATGTATCACATCGTCCCAGAGATATCGGCGAGGTCATAACGATGTGCGGGCTGTAGTGCCGGATAGAACTGTCAGCGACTGTTGAGTCGATAGGCTCCTCCACAAGCCTACGCATATTGCCATTCCATTGCAGAGCTCGTCGTCACGACCGTTCCACCAAGCGAGCAGCCAAACTACTCGTCATGACGGGCACTCGTATTGTTCAAATTGAGCCACGCTAGTCCACCCTAAGATGTAAACGCACTCTACACGACACTCGTCCTGCATGTGGGCCACAGCAGGAAACGAAAAGAGTCGGCCCGTTCGAACGTGCTCATTCACACTCTGCTCACTCAGTGCGTAAATATACAAAGCCGCAGCCACTTCTGCTACTTTCGTCTCGTCCTTTTTGTATGCCAATGGTCCCAAAAATACCAGGCCGAGTCTAGATCCACTTAACTCCTGGCGTCCGGCCAGCAGCTCCCCAATTCATTCCGACTTCTACCGTACAGGAGCGATCACTACCAACCAGTCGTTCCGTCTCTCCTCCTCATACCCCACGTCGAGTCAGTCGTAAACACCACATCAGATCCTAACGACTTTAGGAGATGTGGCGTCGCGTAGGGTTGTTCGCTGTCCTCACTGGAGCGGCTCTGCCTCTGAGCTCGGCCTCGAGCGCCGCGCACCTCACTATGATGGTGTCCAAAGACTCCACGACAAGTGCTTCGAACACTTCGAATTCCGTGGAAGAGGTCGAGGCCGGGACGGTCTCAGCCGCTGACGCCGACAGTCTGCCTCCCTCGACGGCCAAAACTCCCAAACCTGACGATAGCGCGCCTGCCGCCAAAGACAAAGGCAGCGACGCTGGCGAGTGGCACATGGCGGCTGTCACGTCGGTGCAAGCGCGTGTCCAGGGCGACGCGCCCGTGTGGAACGAAGCCGCCAAGATGTGGCTGTCCAAGTTTGGCGACACGACGGAGCTCGCGTACATGAACAACTTGGACACTGTCAACACGGCGTCCGTCGAGGGCGCGCTGATGTTTGTCCAAGCGGAAGGCATCAACGTGAACGAGCAGTCGGTCAAGTGCCAGCGCAAGAACAACATGCAGTACGTCGTGTTCTACGAAGTGACGATCGTGCAGCCGACGTACGGGATCAAGTACTACGAGAAGCACACGCCGCCAGAGTACGGCGAGTTCGTGGCCATGGACGGCGCCAAGTGCACGAACGAAGGCAGTGACTTGAGCGAGCACTGCAAAGTGTACTACGGCCTCGACGGGACGGTCGACGTTGGTCCAATGGTAGGCGCGAACCTGCAGACAGCGGACCCGCGGGCGCCGTACCCTGGCAACTACTGGTTCTCGTACCCGGGCTCGTGTGCGCAGAAGCTGCGTGCGGACAAGACGGACGAGTGTCGAGCCGAGTATCCCGGCGGGTTGTGTGCCATGGGCGTCCAGCCCGACGGCGACAACTGCACGTTCAGCTACAAGATTCTCGGCTACCTGAACATCGACGACCTGGTCGGGATCACGGAGATGGGCTACGGCAACTACACGGACTTTTGTGCGGACGGCGGTGTGGAGTTCAAGGCGTCAAACACGGGCAGCGGCTTTGACGTGGAGGAGTCGATCGGGTTCTGGGAGAAGCCTGGCGATGAGGCCGCGAATTCGAATCGCACGGACACTATGGTGGAGATCTACAACAAGCTCGTGAGTGATGGGACGAGCTCCAACATGGAGGCACTTCCATCGATTGATGAGCTGACGTCGGCGAACCCCAAGTGCTACGAGAACAGCCAGGCGTGCGCCACCTCTCAGTACGGCTGCAACCGGACGCTGTATTCGCAGGTCTGTACCGTGTGCTCGTCCGAAGCGGACGGCTGTGAGGCTGCTCCATCGACGTTTTCGTTCCCGGAGCTGAAACTGCCTGCCAACTCGTCAAACAGCTCGTCGAGCCTGACCGCTAACGGTACACCGGGAGGCAGAGTGACGTCATCGGTAGCCTCGGTCCTTCTGGGTCTTGCAGCTGTCCTCGCTAGCAGTCTGCTGTAGGTTCAACACTAGTCCAGACTACTGACGTGTCTGCCACTTGTGTGTCGGATGGAACATCAAGGAGAACCTGACCTGAACGACGGTATAAGAGCGTCGTCTAAACTGCTTTTCTCTTCGTAACTTGCAACAATGTGAGCTCGACTTGGCGATGCACGTCTAGTACGTCTACTTCTGAGAAGGCAGTGTCTGGTCTTGCTAGTAGCAGATGGCCTCGCACGTTGAGTTTGTGCCGTCGAAGTAACGTGTCGTGTCCACGTGGCGTTTGGTGCCTTTACGCCTTCTTAATATGGGTACATTCATCCTTTGCGACACATGTGCAGGAGCGCGAGAGACTGGATATTTTCTGCTTTGCGAATGGTTTGTGCATCTCCGCGCGGCAGCTGATCTTGTCTGACCATGTGGATCGGAATAAGTCCACTGCCGTGGCAAAACATGGTCCGCTCGCCCGATTCTTCGGCCACGAGCCCTCAGCCAGCAACGTCTGCGACAAATTCTCTTCACATCGAGCTAACTCATGTGCCATGTGGAGGCTGTGCTTGCTTCACTGCGAGAGACGCCCTATTCGTTTCGGGGCAGGGGCGCCCCAGCAACAACTTTGTCGCATCGAAGTGATCTCAGCCGCAGCGGCATAGAGAAATCAACTGACCGGCGCATTTCCAACGACTGGACGCAAAAGTCCTCGACAACCGTCGAGCAGAGCTACTGGTCACACTGCTGAGAGAAAAAACGCTCTTTGCTATCAGAACGCACGGGACACTGCACCGCACTGCAAAAGATCGACGATCGATATGCTGCTGTCCTGAGCCTCCAACTTCCTGCTTTCCTCGTGTCACACGACGCGACCAGAAGAGCGAACGCCTCGACCTCACCACTTGAGAAACCGCTGGTTCGTATTTGTCTCTTCCTCTCGCTACTCTCTCTCTCTCTCTCTCCTGCACATCCTTCTCGCCGACTCAGATGGCAAGAAACGAGACTTCACCCGGGTACGTCCTGCCAGCAAACAACTCGATTGCGCCCCCACGCACTTCCCAGCGCCTCATTCTTCGTTCCACTCTGTCCGCCTGCAATCGACGGAGCAGCTCTTTTTCCACCGCAATGTGGCGATGCGTCGGTAGTCTCTTCCTCCTCGCGCCCCTGAGCTCTGCTGTCCATGCTGCGTACCTCACGACAACCGTCACGAAACAAGTGGCCCCGACCACGTCCAGCGACCCCTTAGCCGACGCGGCCCCGACAACAGCCACAGCCCCGTCAGCTGCTGCCCCGGCGACGAGTCCCAGTAGCAGTGGCACTAGTGCTGGCGAGTGGCACATGACGGCTGTCACGTCGGTGCAAGCGCGTGTCCAGGGCGACGCGCCCGTGTGGAACGAAGCCGCCAAGATGTGGCTGTCCAAGTTTGGTGACACGACGGAGCTCGCGTACATGAACAACTTGGACACTGTCAACACGGCGTCCGTCGAGGGCGCGCTGATGTTCGTCCAAGCGGAAGGCATCAACGTGAACGAGCAGTCGGTCAAGTGCCAGCGCAAGAACAACATGCAGTACGTCGTGTTCTACGAAGTGACGATCGTGCAGCCGACGTACGGGATCAAGTACTACGAGAAGCACACGCCGCCAGAGTACGGCGAGTTCGTGGCCATGGACGGCGCCAAGTGCACGGACGAAGGCAGTGACTTGAGCGAGCACTGCAAAGTGTACTACGGCCTCGACGGGACGGTCGACGTTGGTCCAATGGTAGGCGCGAACCTGCAGACAGCGGACCCGCGGGCGCCGTACCCTGGCAACTACTGGTTCTCGTACCCGAACTCGTGCGCGCAGAAGCTGCGGGCGGACAAGACGGACGAGTGTCGAGCCGAGTACCCCGGCGGGTTGTGTGCCATGGGCGTCCAGCCCGACGGCGACAACTGCACGTTCAGCTACAAGATTCTCGGCTACCTAAACATCGACGACCTGGTCGGGATCACGGAGATGGGCTACGGCAACTACACGGACTTTTGTGCGGACGGCGGTGTGGAGTTCAAGGCGTCAAACACGGGCAGCGGCTTTGACGTGGAGGAGGCGATCGAGTTCTGGCAAAACCCCAGCGACAAAGACGCGAATGCCGAGCGGGCGGAAAAGATGGTGGCAATGTACAACGAGCTCGTGAGCAATGGCACGAGCTCCAACACGATGCCGCTGCCGTCCGTGGAGACGCTCACAGCAGCGAACCCCAAGTGTTACCTGAACAGTGCCAAGTGCGCCAGTGCCGAGTTCGGCTGCAGTCGGTCGCTGTACTCACAGATTTGCTCGATCTGTACGTCATCGGGCAGTTGCGACGCGGCTTCTTCGGCGTTCCCGGACCTAAAGCTGCCTACGAACTCGTCGTCGTCTTCTTCGTCGGACGGGAGCTCTGCGTCCAGATTGGCGGGCGCTGGTTCGGCAGACGGCACCGCTGAGTCTGGAACGACCACGGACGACGCGTCATCTCCCCCACGCGAGGGCGGCAACACCAGCAGTGGCGCCATTGCAGTGGCAGCAACGTCGAGCATTGTGGCGCTCGTGGCGCTTGTCACCAGCAGCTTGTTGTAAGCTTGGGACGCTCGTGCATCTGTGTCGGTAGGGTGGACTAGTCAGTCGACTCTCGGCGCTCTCTTGTAGCCGACAAAAAGAGCGCACAAGGGCGAGAGAGAGGGAGTGGACGATGCATATAACTGTCACTATGCAATTGTGCGCACGAGAATGACGCAATCGAGAAACACGCTATTCCGTGGTAGGTTTGCTGAAGTAACTGGAATCGCTACTGTCACTCAAGAAGCCGATTTGCGTGCTCGTACGACACTTCAGACGTGGGGGGCATGGTACGAAACTGTGGCCTTGCCTGATCTATGTCCAGCTCTCGGTTGTGACCCCCCCCAGCAAGCCCAGATGCTTCTCTGACTGTGTACATGGAGTAGTCGATCGTTCCCTTTCGTAGTTGCCGAGAAAACTATCCAACCGCAGGCTTTTTCACTCTTCTGTCGGGTTTTGTCAGGTCTAAAGCCATATCCTTCACAGTCTCATCAGCAACAGATTCAACATTTGCGCACCAGTTCAGGGTATTTTGTGGTGCTTTCTGGCTGTACACACGCGAGGAACAGTGATCAATCAAGCCTTGAGACGACAAACCGAAGGATGTGTAGTCTCCGATACAAATCCATACAAAGGTGGCAGCGTTCGGCACGATTGCGGCCAACATGTCGCGTGTTGCAGAGAGTACATGTCGCGCGCGCCGTTGCTTAAATTGCCAGCATCGATGGCAGTGATGGCCTTTTACCTTTTTTCAGCTTGCATGGCGCTCACACATGTTGGAATGTAGTGTTATGTGTAAGGAATAGGCAAGTCTTTCTACCCTTCGTCCGACAGGCTTTCGGTCCACGATCGCTACCGGTAGAGGATATATCGTTGCCTCCTGATAGTATTTGAGATCTCGCAAAAGGATCTTTTGCAGAGCAAAAATCGCCATATCGTTGCGGGTAAGAGCCACTGGCGAGCGAGACAACTCTTACCCACAGCCACGGTTGAAATCGAAAGTTCCGAGCGCACATCTCGCTGAAACGCACGCGAACGCAACGTGTTGGCTAATGCAAGCTATCCGACTGACTCGATGCCACGAGCGCGTTTTATATGTTGCTTTTTTGACAAAAGAGGTAAAGTGTTTTTCTCTTTCCTTGTTTCTAAGACCATCACTCCTGTGCAATAAATCAGAAGGCAAGTTCAAGCTGCCATTTACGTACGTGCGACCATCGCCCCTCATATCTCACTATTTGCGGCAAAACGCACGTCTTTCACACTCGGTCAATACATCACCGCCACGGCATTAAGATGGACCACAAAGCAACGGTAGGACTTATACTTGCGGCGCATTGCGAAGCCCAATGGAACATGCTGGTGACGAAGGGTGGCGTTGAGGAGCCGCACAACCGTCATGAGAAGGCCATGCGTAAACGAAACGGTGTTGCAGATATGTCAGTGACGTGCTCGATATGCTCCGCACCTATCTGAATATAAAGACGGGATGTTGGGCGCTGAGCCTTGTTTAAGTAGACATACGAACGTCATTCCTTACTATCCAGAGAATGATCGCAGTGACCGGTTTCGGGCGGCAGGCGTCCCTTGGTTTCATCTCAGCTTGGAAAACATCGGTAATCGACGTCAACTGCTCTCTACGAGTACAAGCTGCGTGCGCATCAATGCGCTGTGTACACTTGACTGACTTGTAGTTTCATTTGCAATGGCCTCGTCCGACGGCGCTGCCTCTATCAGCATGAGCGGCACTTCTCATCCCTCGTTGACATCCGTTGCCGGCTTTGCAGGACAATTTCACAGCATTGACTTACGTGGAAACACACTCTCACTGCACGCACCGCACGTCCAACATCCTGCGGGCCAGTCGCTTGACCCCTCTCCTGCACCATTGTCCTACGTTTGTCCGTCAGCTGCATTCGGAGCTTTGCTTGACTCATGACTCGGCGTCCGATACATACTGTATAACCAACAGCAAGTTGTCGAGGCATTAGCTACAGCAGCGATCGGTTTCAATGTGCTAGATGGGACTGAGCAGTTGTCAGTCGGTTTTCCGGCAAAACGCTGTTGTCATAAGAGACGACGACATGGAAGGGAGCTCGAAGCCGTGCAGTGTAAAAGCAACAGCCCAACGCATCACGACGCTGTCAGGGCCTATGAGGGTTTCAATACTCTTCTACTCACGCTGTCGTTCTTTAGTTCAGCCCTTTTCTACGCATAGATATCAATCCACTTGACATGAGCCGGACCTCAATCGACCCGAAGGGCGACAATAGATTACCGACCGCAACTTCGACACGCGACGCAATAACAAATCACTCATTGGTCAACGGTTTCATATATTGTGTTGCGGGTTGGATAGAGTGAGAAGATTGCACGACGACGGTAGCCAGCCCTCAGGTTTCCGATCCTACGACCAAACCGCTGTCTGCCCCCTCGTGCCCAGCTGCAGAGACAGCTTCACGCAGGCCGTGGCTCGAACGATCTTGACCCACACTCTCTTCGTCTTGCACGCGCCGACCAGTCGCTGTCCTCGATGCGCTGCAGGCTAACACGCAGCTCAGGCGGCCCCCGTTAAACTTCTGACTCGTCGTCGCCGTTGTCTTGCGCGTCGTTCGAGTAGCGAAGCTGCTGCTTGCTTCCAACCTTCCTGCAAAAGGCGTTGGCTCTGTCTTTGAATACGCACTCTAGTTGTGGTTCGCACTTCAAGGCCCTGTTGGCCCAGTGGCACTGCCCGCCGAGTGGGACCCGTTTACGCTCTTTCTCGGTCAAAATGTGCACGCGGACGCGGGGAGAGCCGTCGACGGCGAGCGCGTTCATACAAAACAAGGCGGCGACGAGCACAGCGGATCTCATGGCAGCAGTCGTGACAGGTCTTGGCGCGAGGCGGGTGATTGCAGAATGGCTGGAGTGGAAGGGCGCTCGAGCAGCTCATTTTGGCGTGAGTCAATGATCTCGACGTGATTTGATTTATTTCCAGTGGAAGCGCATAACCTGGACGATATAATATTGCTTGAGCACGAACTATACCGACAAACCATTTCTTGTCGACATATCTTGTGAGAGCGGATACTAATGCGCTCACTTTCACAATTATGATTTATATTTCTAACGAAGATCGAGATCCAAGAGATCCGTTTCTATCGACTTCAACATTGCAAAACACATATTGTGAACCGGCAGATGTTGACCGTACGACGGCGTCGGTCAAATGGACGACATACAAGCACAGCACAGCACAGCACTGGACGGAGCCTTACTCACGCCGGAAGGATGGGATCCGATAGTCAATGTTTTCTCCTGATAAAAACAGTCGATCGAGCCTGTTTTATCCAGTCAAAACACCTGGTCGTTCATGCGGAGATGCCGCCAAACCTGCACCTCCGCATTTACGGCCAACTTCCACACACGACGCCGTGCGAGTTGCGTGCAGCGGCCGATCGACATAGCTCCACTATCTATCCACGTGCTTTTCTTTCGACCACAATGCTTTAGATTGTTTAACCACCTGACAGCAAGTGTGAAGAAAAAGATGATCCAGAAGAGTGGACAGGCAAGTGCTCTGACGACTGAAACGGCGAGTGATCTGAATCCACACGCGACTTTCTTGGTCACGTTGTCCTGAGATGCTTCGAGTCATCATCACTCTTTCATTCGCATAGAGCAGCCAAGAAGACAACATGGCTCTAACGGTAGCACAAGCATTCGAAGTCTTCAGTGAACGCGACCGCAATCGCGAAAACTTGTCCATCCTCACGTGCACGGAAGAGGAAGAGGTTCTGGACTATTTCGACGCAGGGTGGGACGAACAAGACGTCGACGGGCTGTCGCTCAGTCCGGTCGAAAGCGTCGACGCCATGTGGAGCTCATTCGTTTCGTCCGATTCGTCTAGTGTGCTTGGCGGGTGCACGTCCTCAGCACCATCTTCCAACAACCTGTTGTCTCGTCAGCGAAGCTGCCCCCTGCTCATATCGACTGGCGAAGCTCGTTCACTACCGAAAGTGAACTCCATGCCACCTCTATATCGGCCCAGCGATCTGGGCATTGACCTCGTTAGCATCACTGGGGACCCACGTGGCGTCAAGAGTCGAAGCTAGCGATTGACAGATTCTGGACGTGCCCTAAACGAGCTCTCTGTCGAGCATGTGTACCAAATTGAAGTTAGTACATGTTATGGCTTCCATCGAGTTTGAACCACATGTGGTCTGTGAATTTGTCTTCAGATCGGCTTATGGACAGGAAAAAGAGACGACCTATCCGCCTCTGCTTTTGCGTGCGTCAATCATAAGCTGTTGCTGATGAAACAAAAAGCAAGTTGTGCTACTACCGATGTTGGGAACGGACCGGAGATGCAGCGAGAGTTGATCTACATCGACGGTGCTACTGGCTGCTGCAGCGTCGCCACGATCATGCAGAATACTGGAGATATGTCATTGCCGACACCTGAGGCCTTCACTGGAGAGGAGGCTAACATGAGCTCGACGCTCGTTCTCCCGCGGCCATCGTGTCACGACCAGACCGGTCGTTCCGGTTGATGAAACCGTGAAGCTGAACCGAAATATGCGATCGCCATGAGGAGTCGTTGTCGGGAGTCGACGGTTTCGGCACGACTTCTGACCGAGTCTATCACGACAACTACGAGACTAAGCGCCCTTTCTGGTCATTCACGACGGTGTACGGTGCCGAGCAGGGATAACGGTGAGTAACACTCGGACGGAACGAGTTGGCCACCGATACTACTACAACAGCAAGATGAGATTGTGTGCGGATGCGACTGAGGGTGCAACAATGCAGTGAGACTATGGCACGTGGCGCCGGCCTGGGATTGAAGTGCTGAACGTTACATTGTCATCATGCCGAAAGAAGGCGAGTCGAGTAACTTGTAGTCGAGAACGGGATGACGCGAGCTAAGTTGTATCAAACCGAAACGCACAGAATAAGGCTTGCACGGGAAGCGACGCGTCTTCTGACTCAATGCCGTGTCGATGCCGTTCACATTGGCACTGTTTACATCGGCGCATCTGCAAATGATGCGATCATAATTACAGCTTCAGCCTTACCCTGCCCTGCAACGATGGTTGACATGGAGCAATAAGAACCATCCGAAATATGTTGGCGGGTCGAACAAATCTCGTTATTTTCGTTTACAGTGAGTGCGGGTAGTTGAAGCATCAAACACATTTGGTCGTTTCCTAACGCTGTCTTTTGTCATGCCGACCATGAACGCCTGTACATTTGTCGAGCTGCGACCGCACGTCGTCTGGGTGCCGCTATCCCTTTCTCACCGTGAACAGAGACAAGGGTGCAACGTGCGTGTCCACACTAGACCACCCACTCCCTGTGCTTCGGTCGCACTGCTGGACGATCACAGGCAGTGACACCACACGCGTCATCGCATCCTTTATCGATGACTGTACCTAGATAATGCACTGCTTGAAGGTCCTGCTGTGACAACAAATAGTCTTCTTCGATTCACCAAAAGCATCTCTCCCACTCGATCAGCTAGTCGGTAGAGCAGCGGCATGCCACATTTTGCCGCGAAGATTGTCGAGACATGACGATGGGATCGTGTAGTAGCGTAGAGATGAACATAGGTGCATTGACGATCGCTACATGTACAAAACCAGCGTCAGAGAGAACCGGCCACTTAACCATTTTCTAGATCGTTTTACAGCACCACTGCGCATTTCGCATATTATCGGCAAAAAAACCGATGAGTGACCTCGTGGTGTAGAGACCACTAGACTGACGATGAGCAGACGAGTGCTTTCGATACGCGTCAGTAGGACTCTTTACCTTAGGCAGAATTTGGACTTACGCGTCCTTTGCGTGTACCCTTGAAGGTGTTGCGTTGGTAGACAAGTACGAAGGCGATCGAATTCAGTACACTGCAGCACGCATAATGTGCGGTGTGGATTTGAGCTGATGTTGATACTTTCGTCTTCAGGCATATCGACGCGCGCGCGATCAATGCACTGTCCACACAAGGTTTTGACATCTGACCACAAAGTCCCAGATTCGTGATACATATACCACCATAGAGTGATATCTTCGACCTCTTCCGACGCGCCTTCAATCTATGTTGGTAACTGTGCAGCCGGCTTACCGAAGTCACACAATCGACTGCAACGCGATGATATCGTACCTGTAACGGGGTAGCCCGTTACATGAATTTGTCATCAAAACAATCTGACAATACAGAATATTACGTCGAATATTCTTTTAACAATATTACAGACATGATGATAATGTTGGAATGACCGAAGGGTCTACTCATTGGTTGATATCGTGATGATATCAACCCACCAATCGCTGCCACACGCGCGCAATGGATGGTTAATAGACGTCATCATACATATAGTTATATTAGTATAATTAAGTCAGGACAACATAGATTCAAGGAGTTATAGGACTTAATTATATTAACACAGTTTTACTTTTACCAAGAGACTAGTCTGACTACTTAGTCTCCTTTCCTTCCTCTGTGTTTCCCTAAAACACCTAGCAGGGAACTGTCGACCACTGTCGTCAGTGAAAGTATACTCCGTACTGGTCAACCAGTACGTAGTCAACAGTGCCCCGTTACACCTGGTAGCACTTTGTAGTCCGTCCAAGGACCACAACCCCATCGCCCAACATGAACATGTTAGACGATGTAGACGGCGACAGCTTTCACGGAACCCGTGAAAGCTTCTCCCATTTGAGCGACATCGAATGGAGTGCGATTGAACGAATGAGTTCGACCGTTGGCGAGGAAGCCATCTGGGCCATGCTATCCTCAAGGGATAGAGACCAGCAACATGTCGTCATTAGCAAGTTCTTGCAACGAGAACTTGATGAGTCGCGAGCGCAGGTGACCTTGTTACAACAACAGGATCAACAGCGGACCGAAGCACTGAGACAACAAAAGTATCAGTCCGCAGAGCCGACGCGTGAGCGTCGACGGGAGTCTCTCAAACTAGAGGTCTCCAAGTATCGGGGAGTCGAGGAAGACTCCTTGTTGAGGTGGTTCGTCGAGCTGGACGATGCCATCGATGCTCGTCGCATCGATGATGAGCGAATGCAAGTCTCATTCGCCCAGTCTAACCTGGCAGGAGAAGCCAGAGTTTGGGCCCTGAACCTCAAGTTGCACGACCCACATGTGTTTGGGTCGTTGAGAATCTTCAAGACCCTGCTCAGTGAGACGTTTGAGCCGACCAGAGCAGAGCTCAGGACTCTTTCGGAGCTCCTGCAAATCAAGCAGGGTAATCGTAAGGTTCACGCTTACGCTCAACATGTACGCTACTTTGCAAGCTGCATGGTAGTGAACCCTGTGAGTGAGTTTGTGTTGATCACAATCTTTATTCAAGGGCTTTCAGACGGTCCCGCTAGGGACCACCTGTTCCGCGGAGAGCTAAAGACGCTCTCAGAGGAAATCTTTGCAGCGGAGCAAGAAGATTATAGTGTGAGGCAGGCTCACGCTACGCTGACCCCGCATCGTCCACAGAGACGATTAGCATTCGGAGGTCCAGAACCAATGGACCTCTGTCAAGTCGAGGGCGAGAAATCTCGCCCTGCGAATGACAAGCACATGTTGAGATGTCATCGCTGTCATAAACTGAGACACTACGCGTATGAACGCAGTATCCCCCGCTCAGGACCTCGGGGTGCTGAGCGCAGTGTTCACCCACCAGCAACAAGAACTGAAGGGAGAGGGTCCGTTGCTGCTGCGAAGTCGCAACAGCGAGGTGGATCATCAAAAAACGGTCGGGATCAGTAGGGGCGGAGCGCCCTACTGATCCAGCAACATCAAGAGAATTTGCGAATCTCCTGAAGAAAATTGCTCTCGACACACAATTTCTGTGTGTCTCTGCACCTGGTGATGAGGTGTCACCCATCACCTTGAAGCTAGAAGTGACAAAAGACTTGTCACTTCGCGCCCTAGTTGACTGTGGGGCGTCGAACAATTTTGTTCGTCGCCAGTCGCTAGAGGCAGGAAGTTTTAAGTTTGTGGAGCAAGAGATACCTCCAACGAAGATGACGGCGCGCCTGGAGACAGGCGCATCGATCACTGTGAAGAAACGTGTAGTAGGAATCCACTACACGCTAAAAGGCGAATTGTACGATGATGATTTCATCGTGCTTGACCTAGATGACAAAGCGACGTCATCTTAGGGTGCCTTGGCTCAGGAAATACGAGCTAAGGGTGAGTTGGCAGTATCGATCGGTTACGATACCTGCTACTTATTCCTCAGATAACCACCTGACGTATATCTTGGAACGCCCACACTCACGTGGGTGTACTACGAGTGAGTGCGATGGCCTCACTTGTGGTACGGTCGTTAGCACGACTGTACAAGAACACAATGTAGATGTTCACTACATTGTGGAGAAAGCTCACCCAGATCCTGTGGAAGTGATTTTCCAGGAGGTAATCGAGACACTGAATGTCTTGGTTAATGATGGATCAAGCGTAGGCGCTTACACGCTTGATCTGGTTGCGCATCCGAAGTTAACTTCGGAGATACCTCAACTGCCGACGCTGGAACCGAAACGGTTCTTGCGTGATCTGCGTAGTGGCAAAGTCAATCCGATCTGTGTACTCTTCGCGGAGGACGAGTACGTTACCGATATTCGATCGTCAACGGTGTTTACTGAGACCGAGAGGGTTCTCAGCAGTTCATCGATGGACGAAAGTGTCCTCGATGAGAAGACTCGGATTGAGAGATATGAATCTCAATCCTGGAAGTCGCTTCGGGCAAATCCTTTGTATAAGGATTCGATCGAATTCTAGGATGTATTCCCTGAATACGTGCCATACGAGTTGCCTAAGGACAAAAGCACTCGACACGAGATCGAGATCAAACCGGGCTCGAAGTACTGTGTCATGAAGCAGTGGCCACTGCCTCGTGAACAAGTACTAGCGATCGACAAGTTTTTTGCCGATCGCTTAGCAGCAGACCAAGTGAGGGAATCAACATCCCCTCACAGCTCTCCGACCTTCTGTGTGCGAAAGGCCACAGGAAGATGGCGGATAGTGCACGCATTCAACATGTTGAATGCTGCAACGGTACCGGCTCAGACGCCGATACCGAGGAAGGACGTCATCATAGATGGT